TGACTAAAATTTAAAGATCCGTAAGATCTCTACAATTTAAATCTGGATCAGATCCAATTCCCCTTCTAAATGAATTTTAAACTCAGCTTTTGGACGTTAATATGCCAAAAATGTAACAGTCAATAAGATAATATCAAGTAAATTGCACTTTTTAAAACCATTTTGCCCGTTACGAAAGAATAATAAAGAAATTAAAAGTAATCGGTTTAAACAAGCCGATTAGAACCAAGTTCGAGCTTGAAAAAAGACATGCGCCGATCTCGGTGTCCTCCCCGGCCTAGTGTTGGCTGACATTTGAGGGTCGTATTATATGTATGCTTTAAACATATTCATGTATTTTCATATTTTAATTTTAAAAATACATATTTTATTCGGCACAAATTTGTATGGATATTTACATCTTCTTAGCATAAACATGAAATGGTAGCTTGCATCACCCTTGATAGTTAGTCAATAGGGGCCATTCTGTCGTAATATGAGAATGTATGAACATGTTCAGAGCATACACATGATAAGATGGGTTATGTCACCCTCGGATGTCTTCCATCATGTGGCGATGCCCATCTCGGTGTCCTCGTATGAGCCTTTTTTGAATTTGAACAGAACTTGAACACGAATAATATCATCTGAGCTTAGTTTGAGCACTCTGCTACTCGGCTTGACTCGGCCAATTTACATCCTTAGTAGCGTCTCTACATCAACCTTTTATACGTTGGTCCGCAGGACAACTTTTTAACGAAGCTTTATCTCTGTCCAGATTGGATGACATGACACTAGCACCATATGATGGTTCATGCAATAACTTAATAAATCAAATTCACGAGCATATGGCCTTACCACCTATTAAAGTAGTGCATGTCTCGCTTCTTCTTCTCCCTTTCGACTCTCAATTACCATATCGATTCTACTGAAAAATGGGGAGGAGGAAGTTGTTCGATGTTCTGCTCATTTTTCTTCTTCTGCCTGTGGGCTGTGGTGGCAACTATCAGGCTCAATAGTGGAAAATATCAACCCCGGGAGCCACAATTTTAAAATCGTCGCGAAAGCGTTTTGGTTATGGAAGATTTTCCGGGAGAAACTGCTGATTATGATGTCGGCAATGGAGATTACGATTTTTACAGACGGTATGGCGATGTTCCGAGCCCCGGTTTTGCTCACTGATCGATCATGATCATGAAGTGAGTCTGCTCTGATGGGGTTTTTAATTTTCCTTTTAAGGGGTTTGTTTTACTCCAAATGTGCCAACTTCTTGTTAGACATGTATATTTCCCATCAAGAAGGAGCTTTATAAGAAGGATTCTGCTCCATTATTTATGGAGTAGGGTAACATAGCGCGCATTTTGTCTTGAACGTTTCGTGATCAGTATTGATAATATAGTGACTAGTTAGAGTACAATATTTTCACTTTATTTTTGGCTTCATAACATAAAGGTACCATATAGTCAACACATGTTACCAAACGGGTAATATTTATCCGATCCTTGAGTCATTGAGTCATATTTCTTGACTATTTGTAGGCCCAAATTAAGTAGCCAATTATAAATCACAATCAAACATGTATAATACTCTCTCTTAAATCAATCAACAGTTGAAGGATTCTTGATTAATCAAAAGTTCACAATTAGTAGGTAAAAAACACAAAGAAAAGCGACTTCATCTTACATCATAAAATTTGCTCACTATCCTATTTTTAAAACAAAGTAAAAGAAAATACAATCAAACAAAAGTATGTTATTTGTCACCGCAAGGAAAATGCCAACAAGCTCACTCAAATACATGATACAGTTTAAGCACCATCCTATTCAGCAACTGTGAAAGAAGAATGCTCCATGGCATGTTTACTAGCAAAGAACCAAGCACAATCCAAAACCCCGCGAAGAATCCAAGTCCCAAGCTCAGGTAGAACCACTTGTCTTCAAGTAAACGGTATCCTCCTCTGTCTTGCTCAACTGTTGGTGGCACCATCCTATCTGAGCTGCAATTCGTGTTGAGTGGATCTCCGCAAAGTTCATTGCCGATGAAGCTAGACTGATCAAGGCTCTGAAGCCGAGTGCTTTTCGGAATTTCTCCTGTCAAATTGTTGTAGGACACGTTTAAGTGACTCAAAAATGTCAAACTTCTCATGCTTTGGGGAATTTCACCATCAAGTTGGTTCGTGGATAAATCCATAGACTGTAACTATTTCATGTTACCAATCTTTGAAGGGATTCTTTCAGTCGAAAGATTTATCCATAAATTCAAGGACTGCAAGCCAGGGAGGCTGGTCAGTTCCTCAGGGATCTCTCCAGATATCATGTTGTCTGAAAAGTCCATAACTATGACCAACCCAAGTGTTGACGTCCCATAATATTCGTCTTGTCTCCCTTTTGTCAACACTATCACAGAATCCAGAAGAAAACGGAAAAAAAATCCGCACCTTGTATACATCTGGCATGGTGACCATGGCACTGAAATTTTGGAAGCATGTTGGTGTTGCTCCTGAAAGGCTATTGTTTGCAAGGTCCAAGATTTGGAGAGTTTTCTGATGACAGAGTTCATGAGGAATGTCTCCTTGAAGCTTATTTGAACGAATGTTAAGAATCATCAATTTCGGAAGGCTTGTCCCAATCCATGTTGGATTGCTTCCAGAAATTTATTTTGGCCAAGGCCAACAAGTAACAAATCCGTACAGTTTTGCATCGACAAAAGTGATTCTCCATATAGATGATTATTGCGCAAATGCAACGATACCAGTCTCTCTAAGTACCCTATGGAGCTTGGGATGTTCCCAGTCAGCTTGTTGCTGTTTAAGTTTAAAGTTGACAACCATTTCCAGTTCATCAAACAAGTAGGAATTTCTCCGGTGAGAAGATTGTCCCTAAGATGAAGCTTGGTAAGTTCTTTTGGTTCGAATTCGTTCATCCTATCACAAAAGAAGTGGAAGAGAGATCCAGAAAATGATGAGCTGGAAGGATCTAGTTCACTTACTGAGGAGCAAAACCAAAGGTAACAAACCATCAAACTGGTCTCCCCCCAGCTATTCCTTAAATCTCACCATGCAACTGGTTGCTAGAGAGATTTAGAGTATCCAACTGCCAAGATATGTTCCAAAACCAAGTCGGAATGGTGTCTGAAATTCCTGTATTGGCTAGGCTTAGAAGCTTCAATTGTGTCTGTGTCCAAAGCCACATAGGAAATTCATGCCCTAGATGCCAATAATCCAAAGATAAACGCTCAAGTTGGAAAGGAGGAAGCTAGTCTCGACTTGTTTTCAAAGTCAATGGATTCCTGGCTGCAATGAAATGCTTCAGTTTTGTGAGGTGGGAAAAATGAGCTTCAGACACCACACCTTTTAATGAGTTATCCGATATCTCCAAATAACTCAGCATTTTCAGTTGGCCAATCACTTCCGGAAGAGTTCCATTAAACCGATCATTAGAAATGCTTAAGGACTCCAAGTATGATAGGTTACCTAATGAAATTGGGATGGGACCTGATATTGAATTGCCATAGATATCAAGGTGGTTTAAGTTTCTAAACTCTCCTAACTGCTTTGTTAAATGACCCGAAAAATTATTACGCACTGACGACAATGACTTTATTCGGTCTGGACCACACAGAGACAAGCTTTCAAAGATATCTGATACGTTTCCATTGAAATTGTTGTACGAAAGATCAATGTCCATCTCACACAGATTATCTAATGAAAGATCTGGTTCCTTGGGATGGCTAGAGAATGTACCTTGGAAACCACAACTACTGAGATAAAGGGAAGTTAAATTTCGAAGACTGAAAACCCACCTAGGCATCAAAGAATCGAAACTGTCATAGGAAAGATCGAGGACAGAAAGCGAAGTAAAATTTATGATAGGAAGAGCGGGAATGTGATCAAGTTGACAATTGACCATATGTAACTCTACCGAAAAAAGGAGCTCGTTTATTGCTTGCAACCTATTAGATGCTTTGCTAAGATTAATAAAACTCAGGTCTAGGTTTTTAAAGTGGGAAAGACTGGAAATCCATTCGAGATTCTCAACTTTCAGCGATTGACAACTGAGACTGAGAAGATGTAGAATTGTGAGGTTTCCCAATTGAGGAGGAATTAATCCTTGGAATCCAGCTACTGAGAGGTTAAGGTATATCAAAGTTTTAAGAGAACCCAAGAAGCTAGGAATCATGCCTTGAAAATTGTTGCAACTTAAGTCCAAATAGTTGAGATGCTTGAAATGGAGCAAAGAAGGATTTATCTTACCACCCAACCAATTAGCGAGGTGAAGCTCACGGACGTGACCGGTTAAATCATCACAGACAACTCCAGTCCAGTTGCAACAGTCCCCATCACTAGTCCATGACGAAAGCCAATTTGAAGGATCCTCAAGATCTTGCTTGAACATAAGAAGCACTCGTTTGTCACCTTCCCTGCAACGCACACGCAGATTTCCATTGCTTGAAAAAAAAAAGAGTAACGGAGCATTAATTTGAATTCAGCCATGGGAGCATCCCCTGCTCTAGAATCGAGGATTTTTGGATGATTCGGTACTTCATCATCACATGATGGATTAACCAAAGGAGATGTAATGTAGTCATATAATCTCGAGTCATTGTCGTCTTCATGTTAGGAATATTTTTTTTCTTTTTAACTTGTTAGCATTTTCCTTGCTCTCTTGGAAAGGATTTGGCCTTATTCTTGCTAAGGGTGTTGATATCATATCTCTTCAGTTGTTTCTTAATTTAAGTTTTTGATTTTTTTTAATGGGTTAAACATCTAACGATGAGAACGATGAGAATTGAATCTTTAAGTAGAGTATATGAAATATGGTCTTAGAGAAAATTGTAGTAAATTCAAATTTATTATTGTTATTTTCCTTTGTTTTCACAGGTTCCTAACCTTATGATTAGCCTCTATTCTCAGGTATTGATTCAACTTCAATTTAATAAACTGTGATGCTTTAATTAGAGATTGTTTTGGCTGAACAATTTTTGTGTGCATGCTAAAAAAACTATATCAATTGGCAGCCGTGGCATTTCAACACATCAATCTGTATCTAATGATTGCCCACCTGAAAGGATGATTATACGTTGAAATCATTGCATTGTTTTTTCGTGAATTTATAATGTTGATTTTTTGTTTGAGTTTCAGCATGTGATTGACCTATCAAGAAGAGAAACCGTGGTGTGCCTCATTGGTAAGGAATTTCGGCTTCGTAGAATTAAGACCTACTAAATACAAAGTTATTCGTTTAATTCGGTCTGGGTTGTAGTTTGGTGTTGTGAACTCTTTTTGTACATTTGCAGGTGGAATGAAGGTGGAAGCTGACAGAGACGAGTCTTCCACATATGCTGTCATGCTTGCTTCAGATGTTCCACAAAGATGTAAGCTCTTGGTATGTTTTCAATATATTGTTCTTAATTCATCGTGTTTTATTTTTACCATGTTTTGTAAAAGATTTATTTTTCAATTCAGAAAAAATTGTGGGACTCTCAAGAAGGGAATGTGGTTAAGTGAGCTTCATTGCTTGACGAACTTAGGTCCAACGCTTGCAGTGGGAGGATGGAATTCTGAAGAAGGCTTAGTTGTAACTTGTAAGTTATGTAGGATTTGTTGTGAATAATTGAAATTCAGTAAGTGAAAAGTTAACTATGATCCCTTTCTGTGAATTTTACTTGATGTATATACTAGAAATGACATAGGGAAGGCATAGAGCCAATTAGGTGGATTTTGTTAGTTATCAGTTTGTTGTTGGTGGATGTGCATAGGTACATAGGTATTATAAAATGTAGTGTCATCACCCTTGGGTCCTGGGTTGTGTTGGACAACATCGTTGAATATAATATGCTTTCTTATGTAGCACAAACCTTGTTATTGATAAATCTATTGGATATAAAGTGTGGTTGGTTGGAAATGTGAATCCTTTTGCAAATTTAAATTTCATGTGAATTTTATATTAACAAGTTGAGTTTTAATATAGTGCAGAGCTATTCCTAAAATGCATGTAATACAATTCGAACCTACTGGCCATTTGGAATGCTGTAGATTCACACCAACTTTGGTGCCTATACTTTAAAAGCCACTGATCCTAATATACACACGTAGGATTGGTGTGTGTATGAGTATGAAAGGCACCAATGTTAGTCTCAAATCTAGCCACTAATAAGACGGACAATGAGATATTTTGAATTTTAGAAAAATTATATGCAATATTGGTAGCCATTGTTACAATAGAGTCCTCTACAGAGGACATATTTTCTAGTTTAATGGCTGCTTAGTGGTCATTGAGGTTTGCCACCAATGAGAGTGTCCACATTTGACAATACACACTAATGAAAAGGATGGCTTTTAGCCAAATTTCTAGTAGTGAAAGTTGCTGAGGACTCGCATTTGAATTTTGTCACTACTTAACTGGATTCATTTGGAGTGCACTGCCAACTGGGGCATAATATTAGAGCATGGGAGACTTGCTTGACTATATGAACCTCACCTGACCTACCCCATTAACTAATTAATGAGATACGTTTAGTTTGGAGGTAGGGATTGGAGGAATTAGACGCGTTGATATCACAACTCAAATAGTTTACAACAAATTGAAATTTGAACTAATAAGTATTTAATTCAAAGTGGAGAAAAGGCACGGTTTTACCATATACGAGAGGGCCGGCCAGTGAGATTTAGGGGTTTTTTTTTGTATTAGAATTAAAGGGTTTTGTTTTTCTCTTTATGTGCCACCTTCTTGTAAGACATGTATATTTTCCCATTAGGAAGAGCTTCATAAGAAGGATTTCACTCCATTATTTATGGAGTAGGATAAGATAGTGCGCGTCTTTGTCTAGAACGTCCCGTGACCATGTACAGATCATATAGTGACTAGTTAAAGTTGAATGTTTTCACTCTATTTTGGGATCACACCATAAAGGTACCATATAGTTAATACACGTCACCAGACGGATAATATGAGAAAACTATCTACCACGCTTCATGAACAGTAGAGCTGGATCCCCTTAAGAAGGTATCGTATAGACATATACGAATTGCTTATTCTTTCCTAACTAGGATTGATTTTCTTTTTCTTCCCTCTATACGTTTTGTAATAAATCCTCTGCGAGTTCGAGTTCTTGGTGTTAAATCATATACATGATATCTGAGATGTATAGTCCCAAATGTGTTGTATACGTAAGAAATTCATTGTCTTGTTAATAAGAGAGTCTCTGGTTGAGCCTTGGAGTTTTGTTGAAGCAACAGTTTGTCTTAGTTTAATTACCAATTTAATTTGATTAACTAAACAAATTGAGGCAACAGATCCTTGGAGATGCATTCTCCACCTTCGAATCATCTCCCGCTGAATCCTTGACGCCATGTTGTTTCGAGGTTACAAAATTTTACTTTGAAGAACACCTGAGTTTAACGACCAAAGAGAAAAAAAGTTCTAGGTGTCTCACATCAGCCAGTGAAGATGGGAATGTGCTAAGGAGGTAAAATAAAAACGAAGGCTCGGCGTGTTAAAGCTCATACCTTTCTCGGCCATTTGGCTAGGATCAAGTGTAGTATCAATTCTTATTAGTTTAATATTCGATACGTGAACTAATGGTCCACACAATATTAAATTAATTTTTTAAGGAAGAGAGCCTACTGTAGTAGCTTACTGCTGGAGTTCTTGAGCGTCGCCCAGCGTTGCCCTACTGCTCGGGCCCCGCGCAACCCCACCAAATCTCACGTCATATTCTTTCTCACGAAGCCCAATGGGCTTATGCCCATATGAATCTGGAGTTTCTTTTAAACATAAAAAAGTTCAGTAAAATAAACTAGAACTAGAAGTAAATAATCTCTACATGTGAAAAAATATACGTGATTATGCACGATTAACGGCTAGGATGTGAGGATAGATCCTCACCATTTGGATCCCTAAGATCCTCACCATTTGGATTCGGATGGGATCCTCATCCGTGATTATGATAACTTAATTAAACTCATAACTTGTTATTTCTAAGAATGCTAAAGGAATTAAACTTTGGTGAGGGTCAACTTTGAATTGATTTCGTTCGTGGAATTAGATGCATCAGCAGCTAACAAAGTATAAATTGATTTGTACGTGGAATTACTAAGAACTTTGTTATAAATTACTTTGTGCGTGTAATTAATTAGACATGATTTTGTACGTGGAATTAAAAATACATCACATGAGCATAATACAGTAACAGATTTCTTGATTAGAAATGATTTTGTACGTGGAATTAAAAATGCCTCACATGATCGTAATAAAATAGCCGATTTCTTGGGTTGGCCAAGTGTGTAAACGCTTCCAAGTTTTTATTTTTTTGTCTACGACATTACAATTTACAATCTTTCATTGTCTGTGACAATATTTTTTTTTAATTACAAATTGTATTCTATACTAATGTACAGTAGAGAAGTGGATTCAGGAGAAATGCTCTAATCACTATAGAGCATTCCACCACTTACAATTGAGAGAAATTAGTTGTCAACAATGTGCAATTAATTAAAGTAAAGTAATAGATATTTTTTAGATATGTATTATAAATTATAAACATAATTCATAAAAGGAAAAAAAAAAAAAACCGATAAAAAGTCAATCAAACAGAACCAATAAAGTAATACGTACAACTTTCTTTTAGAGAAATTATCGATAATAGCCAAAATTTAACACCTAATTTCATAAATGTCACTTTTTCTAAAATATTTTAAAAATAACATAAAATCCACTTAAATAGACTTAAATACCCTGAAAATTAAAACCAAATAAAATAAGGATGTAGTTGGTAATTTAATGAAAAAAATTCTGAATTGTGGCCTCTTCTAACTACATAGTTTTTCAATGAGGAAAAATAGTCGATGGCAGAAAGTTTGGAATCTGAGGTTAGCAATCCTGAAGGAAGATAACTTTTGGCAGCTGTACAGTGTTTTTCTACGTACCCAATGCAGATGATTGCCCTAGTCTGCTTCTAGCTAGTGAGGTTGTTTGGACCCAAAATTACACCATCGGCCTGAGCAATCGAGACCGTTGAATAGGCGAATTTTAGACCGTTGGATGATGAAGTGGTTGAAATAATTTTTAGTTATTATTGAGAAGTAATATTTTGATTTTTATCGTAATATTATATCTTAATAATAACTAGGATAGTTAAAACCTAATTTTTGATATATCCAGGTGGTTGTTTCGGAACAAAGTGACTTGGAATTCATGGATGAGATTGGTGCACGTGGTCTTATCTAGGAATTGGTGAAGGAGTCATGCATGCATGTGGTCTTTGGCAGAAGGTTATGATAATGAGGGATAAAGGTTATTAGTCAAAGCAGGATTGCATCAGGTTGCAAGATGACAACAAAATTTTGATAAGATGAGAACAAATAAGGACTCAGAGTCACAATGTAATTAGGATTGGTTTGCACGGCTTGGGTATTCAAGACTCTATAAATACAGTGCAACGGGCATCATTCAAAGGACCTCCAATTCAACACACAACTGCCCTGCGCAAAACCTCTCAAACATCTTGAGATTTTTATTTTCTTTTTTCCGCCGACACATCTTCAGTTTGGATAAACAGCACTGTGAAGGCAACCGGAAAACATCTTCAGTTTGGATAAACAGCACTGTTGCCGTAGAATCAGTCGTTCCCGAAGCACCTTCAGTTTGGATAAACAGCACTGCGTCGAGGCCGACTGGTTATCTATCCAAGTCTCGGTCGAGAAGGATTTTTAAATCCTTATTGGCAGAGGTCATCCCATTAGCCTTCTCGGCGAAGTGAGGTGTTACCAGGTTACTACATTCGGCACCTTGAGAGCCGAATTTGATATTGAACTTCGTAGAACTAGCAGCCTTGTCTTCAGGCTCGAGAATCCAAAGGCCGAGATTTGTTCCCTCCTCGGCCGCAGTCGCAAGATAAAGAAGTCAACAACGCGCTCAACGCAACATCAACAAATTTTACTCCTCGGCCGAGCTCGGCCGACGAGTTGGCACGCCCCGCATTCAACCGAAGGACGTAGTTAGCTCATTAGTTACTCGGCCTGCGCGCCACGTAGGCTTTGTAATTTTTGTAGTCAACAGAGGTAGATTAATTTACAGAACACAAATATTCATTGTTTCAAAACTTTCTCGTAAAAATTTTGGATAATTTATTCATGCTTATCTTTACTTCTCCTCCATATATGTTATAGGTGGAGCTTTCAGAACTGCAGGATCCCAATCTTGCTTCAACTATGAGAGAACAGCAACACCGAGCCTTAATTTTGGGAAAAAATTGGGTATTAATCAGCCTGTATATCTTGTTATCATTATGCAGAAAAAAATTGATTACCATATGTTTTAACTCATTTGTGCACTGAGTATGGCACAAACACGATGCATGGGCATGCAAACTAGAATTGGTGCGCTTGTTCAAGATGCAAATATACTAATGGAGCAAATGGAGAAACAACAATTCATTCCAGGCATCAGGAATGTCAGGAATACACTATGACTGCAATCTTGCATCACAACTTCCTTGAATTTCTTCTATATATGGATGTGGATTTTGAGGGTATTTAGGTCTATTCACGTGAGTTTTTTGTTATATTTGAAAGTTTTTATAAAAAGTGACATTTATGAAATTTGGTGTTAAATTTTGGCTATTAATGATAATTACTCCTTTTTTTATGTACGTGACTTTAAGGGGATTTGTTATATTTGAATGGAACAACGTCGCCCACTTTAAGTGGATGTCCAAACGATTTGGCCACCGCTGCTCTGTTTTTTTCTTTCCTTAAAAGGCGGTTTCAGGCCATTTAGGTGGGCAAAATGGGTTTCGGTGAAGGAGTTTTTTATGTCCTAGAGTCACTCCGCCTACTGAAACACTTAGAGGAGCTCCAATGTCGATCACTTCCATTACCCTCTTTAAGCCATCTGTTAGCACACTCATAGCTACAAATCTAACTTGATTATTCTAATAATTGACGTACTTCACAAGTCACATTATTGCTCCAACTTCCTACGAAGTGGCTTTTTAACGAAATTCACTTGTTGCTCCAACTACAATCACACACACATAGGGTTGCAAGTTGGAACGCTGCTTTCGACTCCGACTGTAAAATTTTCGAATTCGAATATTTTTCAAAAAATTAGAACCTAATTGGAATGCATTTACAAATTTCAAAAATTATGAATTTCCAATTTGAATTTTTTCTAAGTGTTCCAAACTTATTCTGTTAAAAAACCTTTTGAAATATTTCAATTTTTGTATAGTTATATTTTGTAATCTGGTTTTGCATTTTATTATCAGTTATGAATACATTTTGTTTATTGTTTTTAACAAAATTAATTGAATTTATATAGATAAAATAATAAATTACATGTACGAAAAAATTGGGACCCTTTTTGCGCAGGTTAGAATCACTTCTGAGAACAACACCTCCCATTTTTAAGCATACAATCACCTCCAAAGCAGGCCACAAGCAATACAAAATCCAAAAGCTTTAATTAGTCATCCACCTGCTTAGCAATTCGTAGGCTTTAAAATTTTTATCTTTTCATGCATAAGGTCTAAAAGATAATATGCCGTTTTCCATTATTCTGTGTCACTTATATGATTGCTTTGCCTTATAATTGGGATTTAGTATTTGGGTTTCACTGTTTTTTAGGAATGGTCTCTTCAAAGGTCCAAAGGTCCAAATAGCTTAGGCAGCAAATGACGTGCGTGAATTCATTTCTGTCTTTGCAGGTTGATCATGCTATTCGTTAGATCATCACCTATATTTCCATGTTGTTGTGTTCTGTTTAAATTTTGTAGAAGCTAAAAGCTTGTTTAATTGTATGCTCATTTAAGATGTGTTTTCTATCTCTTCCGATAGAACTCTAGCATTTGATAAGGTCTAGATAACTCTTTCACTGATTTGAGATTAGGTCCAATTATTTTTTCAAATTACTCTAATTTTGCCATACATAATAGTTGTGCTTAATTTTCTCCTAGGAATAATTTGTGCCTTTGCTTTAGACATGGTATGGTTGTTGTGCTTTTGCTTGTTGATGATGATTTTACTTTACCTTGGTGTCTTAGAAAACTTATGAAAGTTTATGAGGATTGAATAGGGGCTGAGCCATAAGTAATGTTTATATGAATTTGAGCTCTTAGATTATACAATAACAGTTCAAATAGCGGGGGTTGCAACTCCAACCCCACATTCTCCTCCTCTCCCTCTGAAAATCACATAAAACCTTATCCATGCTTCTTGTCCTTGCCTTGTAGAATCATTTTGCTATCTAAAGCCTTGAGGACACACCATTCACTAGCACCAAACATACACGTTTGTCTTGTACTGGCTTGGCCTTGTGGCCTTTGGAAAAAGAACATCAATTAGCTTGAATGAACTTCTTCTTCTTTGATTTTTAGTTAATGATTTTCAGTTACAGGTTGATAGCTAGTTGACTGACTTCTTTTCTTGTTATTTTCAATTACAGGCTTATTATTTACAGTACTTTCCTTGGCATCAAATTGAACTATACCGAGCTAGAATTTGTGCACTCTTGAGCATAGATTAATTGCATGTGTTTGCAATTGTTGCCTATGGTATCCGTATTGTTCTTAATTTTTTTTTCTCTTGCATCTTCCCAGATTTATGAGAAATTTTTATCGGCTAAGTTACTAGTATCCTTCAACCAACAGTAGCAACAACGCAAAGGGTCTTCATGGTTTAGTTGGGCTTCACGTAGTAT